TGGAACCTGGAAGGTAGAGGTTGCAGTGAACTGAGATTGTGCTACTGCACTCCAGACTGGGTGATAAGAGCGAGACTCTGTCTCAAAAAAAAAAAAAAAAAAAGTCTCCTGAATTTTATCATTAGTGAACATGCTTCAGGGAGTGAAAAAGCACTCTAGAATTCAAACTAAATTTTCCTTGCGATCTATCCTAACAATCATCTGGGTCTTATTTTTAATAATCTGTCATAGAGAAACACTGAACCCCTTCTTAAACATTGAAAAAGTAAAGTTTTTAGATCAAAAAAGAAGCTTTGATCACTGTCAACAATTTAATAATCCATAAATATATACTGAGCAACTACTCAGTCCATTTCTCCAGCCACCACAGATGACAAATCCCATTACCAATGGAGAGGGTGGAAGCCACTCTCTTAAAACGCCCAAGCAGTGTCTCATGTCAGTTTGGGAGTCAGAGCCACCCAGGAAAACTGTTAGTGGCTCCGTTTAATTAGCGCTCCTGCCACCTGCAAACAAGTGGTACTAAAAAAAGGTGCTGAATTCTTGCCACTGAGAACGCCAAAAAAGACACCACTGGTTTCATTCTGACTCTTACAATCTAATATTTTACTGATTTGGGGTGGGGAAAGGGAAATACACTTTCACTTTCACCCGAAAGAAATGACTTAACAAGTCATGCTTTAGAAACAATTACATGGTAATGAGTCCTCCAATCCAGCAATCCTCCCTCTGCCCTCCTGTCCCCTGCCTTCCCCTCTGCTTGGTCTGGGCTCTCTCTGCCTCCCACAGAAATTGCCTTCTCCTCAGGTCCTGTCTTAGACCTTCCTCCTCCAGGAAGCCATCCTGACCAGCCTAGCTCTTAGGGAATTGTCCCCTTAATCCCACAACACTTGAGAGTCTTTTTCCCACAGATGAGCACTAAGTTATATTTATTGATAACAACTGCTGTTACCTTAATCCTTGTGGAGAACAAGAGCCAAGAATTGTATTGGGAAACCTCAACCACCTTTTGGAAAAGATGCAGGGTAAAAATGATTGGAGTATGAGCCACCTTACACCTTCCCTGTCTTCCTGAGAGTTGCCGGCACAGAGCTGAGCAACAGAGCAGGTTCTCAGTAAATGGTTGGTGATTGCATGATTGGCACGTGCCTTCATGACACATCACAGAGCAGGGTGGCCATGGTGAAAATTTGGCAGCTGTGACTCCTTACTTCCTGCTTTAATCAATGTGGTGGGGTTGAAATGCTGGACACACAGTAGGTGCTAAATAGATTTTTATGGATTGATTAACCACTGGAGGGACAGAGCCGTATGTAGGATTTATTAATGCCTTTGATGCCAAATGGAGGTGGTTTTAATAAAGCATAATGTTTTTTTTTTTTTTAAAAAAAAAAAAGCAAACAAAACCCCAACCAGGACAGGCTGACAGCTGCTCTGTTTACACCCACTGTGCTCCTGGAAACAGATGTCCTGTCAAACCCGAGGGTTTCTGATGAGGCTTCCACTCTTCCAAGTGACCTGCCTGTTCAGTAATCAAAGGGACCCGTGCCCTTCTCCTACATTAGTGCTCTCTGTGCTAAGACTGGTCTCCAGTTTTGTGTCTGGGATAGAGACTTTTGCTGATAAAGGCAAAAATCAGCATCCACTGTTTGTACTCCAAGGGAAAAGCACTGGGCTAATGACAAAAGAAACTGCATTTGTGCGTTTGGTATGGTAAAAAGAACAGAGGCTTTGGGACAACTGGGCTCAAATGACAGCACCATCACTTACTGTGTGATTGCAGGAGCTCATCCACCCTCTCCAGAACTCAGTTTTGTGGGCTGATAATACCAATTCCGCAGGTTTCTGTGATGATTAACAAGATACCATGGGTAGAGTTCTTGGTACAATGCCTAACAAGTAGTAGCCATTGGGCAAATGGTCCTTTTGTTGTGGCTATTATTATAAACACAAATAAGGACAGAAGCCCACCTTGGTCACTGTGGGTTTATGTGGTGCCCCAGGTGGTCCTGATGTGACTTCCTCTGGTTCTTCCTTAGGTGACAGTGGCCTTTCCAGGGCAAGTCCCATTCTGATTGACCACAAAGATAATGGTCTGTGATCTGAGAGGAGAATGGATGTTCTGGAGTGTTCCCGTCCACTTCCCTATGCACTGAGTCTGCTCCTTCACTACCCATCTGCTTGGAGTGTACACATTAGTCCTGATCCCAGTGCCCAGCTTGGGGCTCGGGGCAGGGAGGGTTAGCTTTGGAGTACACACCACCGAGCCGATCCTGTGCTTCACGGATAAATTTTTGACCATGGTGGAAGAGGTTCCTGGGCACAACACCTGGGTCCCATGAACCAAACAGAGAAATCCGTGGCAATCAGGGGGCCCATCCCATGGACCATAGGGCAAAGAATGCCCCAGAAAAGATCCCAGACACCAGCAAGATCTATGTAGAGACAGAGAGGAGACCCTGACACAGCGCAAATCCAGTTTATGTTGCCAAGACACTACGTGTGCTGGGAGAGATCATGTGAGCAACAGCACTCCAGGTGAAATGGAGCTTAGGTGTAGACCTGCACAGACCCTTCATGAATGGCCATGTCCACACTGAACAGCTCCCAGCAGGGCAGCGCATCAATGACGAGGAAGGCCTTGGTACTGAACTCTGGAAATTCTTATTTGCATTCAGGCTCTGAGGGATAAAAGGAGGATGGGTGAGGACAGGGTAGACAAGCCCACTGGGAGTCTAATTCACACCGCTTTTCTCATTCTCCCTAACAAACTGGCTCCCCTGGAGAGCTCTTACCAAACTCCGGCCCTGAAGAATTTGCAGTGCTCCAGAACTAGCGCCCTTTGTGCACCACTGCCCGAGGAGGTCCTCCTCTGGACGAGGACTCAGCACAGCTCTCTTTTGTGATCATGCCAGCAAGGAAACTGGGAGCATCCTTTCTCCTTCATCTGGAGAGGCAGCTGAAGAAGGATTCTTGGAGTGCTTATTTTCTTTTTTCATTTGAGGATCACTCAAAATCATCTGTAAGACACTCTGAGCGCCTCGCATTCCCAGATCTTAACCTGTCCCAGGCCCTGCAAACCTTGGCCACGTTTCCGTAATGCCTGCAGCTGTCACATAGGGCGCTACTCCAGAACAGCGCGGCTGGGTGAACTTCTGCATGTTGACAGTCGGTGGATCCACGGAGATTATCTTAGAGGACAGCTTCCTACAGCGTGGATGAACAGACACATGCCTGTGGCTTTGTTCTCCTTCTCTTTGCATTGAGCTGACCTGTGTATCAATTTTAAATCCCAAGAAATCCCTCTTTTTTCCATTTTGCTACCTATTACTCTTCTATCACTTTTCAGTCACCATTTTAAGAACATAGTACTCAAACCAAAGCTATCAATCACCTTCGGGTGTTGTCTGAGGACCCTTGGGGAGCTGTTCTCCCCCTCACCCCACTCCCAATGGCAGCACCTCTGTCACCCTCTCTTAAGGACACGCCAGTTTTCCTGGCTGTCTCCCTCATAAAGGGTGGCTTCCTCCCTGAAGTGCTTTGGTCTGTCCCCTCCCCTAAGCTCCAGGCTTCACACACACAAACTTCGTTGGATGTTTTTTTCAGGAAATGCAGTTACTCTGACACCAGTGGGCCATTTCCCCAGCGTCCTCATTCCGTTTCTGACAGTGCTCCTGCTACCCTCAGTAGATTATTATTATTTATTATTTATCAGCCACGACACTGTACTCTACTTCCTACAAGATATTAAAGAAGACACAATCCGTGCGCTGAGTTTACAGCCAAGGAGAGCAAAGGCCTGAATCAGACATCACAGGGGGGAGCTGAGAGGAAGGGATTTAGCCACTCAGTCCCCCCTGGCCGTGGCAGATGGGGGCAGGGACTGGCAAAGCCCTTCCCAGGCCAGCTCCTCCCAGCGGGGCCCCCACAGCCAGCTCCCTGCACTACCCCACCACCCACTGCACCCTCTCCCCAATTTCTAGCTAGGCCTCAGGCCTCAGGCCTTTACCTGGGGGAGAGAAGGGAGGGTGAAGGATGAGGATGGGGTCCTCAAGCCTTTACATTCAGGCAGGGATGGAGGAGGGGGGCGAATACAGACATTTCGTCTGAAACTCAAAACCAGGTGAAGGGGAGGTAGGGGATGAGAGAGAGGTCAGGGAATAAAAACCAGATCAGGAGAGCGGTCAGGGGTGGGGAGGACTGTGCCCAGAGTGAAATATTCTGGCATAATGGAAAAGCCCTCACTGGGAGTCGCACAGGCCTCCGGCCAAATCCCCTCTTTGAGGGTTAGCAGTTAGGGTCTGTGTAGACAGTGTGAGAGCGAGCGAGCGAGCTGTGGTGGGGGTGGGGAGTCGGTGTCGACATCAAAGGCCGGTCGGGCTGTTAAACCGAGAAGGCTGCGTGGATTCCTAAGGGTCAGAGTGAATAGAAAAGTTCGCGCGCCTCGAGGAGAGGCAGGGCTGACTCAGAGGGCTGGAGGACACGACGTGCACGGCTAAACCTGGTCCTTCAGTGTGTGGATAATTCCTGCTCCTTTCCAAGGCTGGAGTGTCACAGGGCGGAAGCTGAAAGACGATTGGACTTTTTCCTTCTCAAACTTTTCCGCCAGTTTCCTCAGGTGTTGGCAACAGACGGGGAGCTCGGCTCGGTCCCGGTCCCCCAGCCCCTGGCCAGCAGCCCCAGAAGGCCGCGGCGGAGCAGCCTGTGCCACGCGCCGTGCGTTTGCCAGGCGCGTCCGCGGAGCCAGGCGAGCCGGGGGCCACTGCGGGGGGCGGGAGAGGCGGACGAACTAACGGACGCACCCGCTAGCACTCCGCCCCGGACCGGGCGCGCGGCGGCCCGGGATCCCTCGGGCACAAGGAGCGGCGCACGGGGCCGGGCCGGGCAGGGCCGGGGGGCCCCGCCTCCCCCGCCCGCCACCCCCGCCCACTCGGGTGCCCGTGATTGGCTCCGCCCGCCCCTGGCTGCGCGCCGAAGCCCGCCTCCCTCGCAGCTAAAGCAGACGGTACCCGGAGCGGAGCGAGCCAGAAGGGAGCATGGTCCCCGCGCCGCGGCCGCGCCAGCCCCCGCGTCGCCGCCGCCGTCCCCGCCACAGCGGATCTAGCTCCAGCTCCAGCCCCAGCCCCAGCCCCAGCCCCGGCCCCGGCTCCGCAGCGCCCGTCCGCAGTCCCGGCGGCTGCCGCGCCTGAGCGCAGCCCCCGCCCGGAGCCGGAGCCGCAAGCCCGGAGCCAGCCCCAGCCCCGCGGCCGCCGCGGCTGCGGGGAGAGGGCGGGGGCGATGCTGCCGGAGCCGCCGCCGCCGCCGCCGCCTCGATGAGAGCCGCGCTGCACCGCGCATAGCCGCACAGGCTGACAGGCAGAAGGACCGACTTCCCTCTCCCAGGCATCCTTCCTGGGCTGCCGGGAGGCGGCGGCGGCGGAGGAGGAGGAGGAGGAGGAGGAGGAACGCGGGGAGAAGGCGGAGAGCAGGAACGCGAGGAGGAGGAGGAGGACCTGGATCCGCTTCCCCCGGCCAGGACCCGAGCGGCCCCAGCCACCGCTACCCGCCGGCGCCGTCCGCTCTCCATCAGCCCTCCTGCGCCCACCGGCGACCCCGGGCTCTCTGCGCGTCGGGCCGGGGCCGGAGCGGCGCGGCCGGAGGTAAGAGCCGGGCCGGGCTGGAGCGCCTCGGAGGCGGCGCCGGAGACCCAGGTCCTGGCCGCCGCCGCGCGAGGCCGGGCCGGGAGTGGGAGCGGTGCCGGAACCCGGAACGTTGGGCTCGGCTCCGCCGGCGGCGGCGACGACGACAGGAGCCTCCCGCGTCTGGACTCTCAGGCTGCAGGAGCCCTTGCGCCTGCGCTGCTCCAGGGGGGAAAAAAGGGGGGAAAAACTTCCTGCCCCCGGGTGTGCATGCACCGGGGCTGCCGGGGGCCCCTGCCGCGGTGGTGGGAGGTGCTGGAGGCGAGTGTGACCCCCCAGCCGGGGCAGCCCCCCTGCTGGGCCTGGCGGCGTGTGCCCCTCTCCAGGCCACGTTCCCCTGAGCAGCCCAGGGCCCCGGCCGGGCAAGGGGCCTCGAGGCTCCGGAGGGCTGGCCCCCAGGGGCGGCCGCGCGCACTGCTCTTTGGGGAGGTGCGCGCCTCTGTGCTGCGAGAAGCTAGGGGTTCCTGCCCCTGGAGTCCTCTGATCCCGCATTTGGGGACTGGGTCTCTTCACTCAATCCCAAGTAACTTTCGAGGTAGAGGAGCTCGGAACCCGTCGGGAGGGAACCAGCAGAGACCTTGTTGTGACACCCGCCCCCCCACCACACGCACACTTCCCTTGATACCTTGTGGGTGCCAGCGTCTTGGGGGGCGGCGCGGAAAGGGGAGCTCACGGGGATGACGAAGGGGCCAGGAGGTGGTGTGGGTGGGGAGGGTTGTTTATGTGTGGGACAGGGGGACCCGCAATGTGTAGTGTGCGAGTGTGAACGCGGGCCCCGATGTCCACGGGGAGCTGAGGGCTCACGTCTCGGTCTCTGTGGCCTGGAGCGGGCTGAGAGTGCGAGGGTTATCTGCGGTCGCTGCGCGGGTGCCCGAGCTGTGCAGCGTCGGCCCCAGGCCGGGAGGGAGGGACGTGATCGCCCGGGGCCGTAGTGCGGGGCTGGGAGCCGGGGTAGTCAGAGGCGGCTCCCAGGGCAGGTTGCCTCTGCGTTGGCTGGGGAAAGCAGGGACGCGCTGCCTGCCTGCGGCCAGCCGTCTCGGAGGAGGGGGTGGCGGCCGCGCACAAGTCTTGGATGCCTGGGTCCGCCCGCTGAGAAGCCAGTTGTCGTACCAGGGCTCTGGAACCAAGAGGCAGACGCGGTCCCTTGGCGGGCCCTCCTCGAGCGGGCCCCCAGGGATGCTGATGGGTGAGGAGCTGCCGCCACCACCGCAGCTGCCATCCCTGCCGCTCTGCAAACGTTCTCCCTCCCTACTGTGCTTGCGCCACGGCGTGCCCCGGGCGAATCGTGGACGCAGGTATTTATGTAGCATTAAGCGAGACCTCGGCGCTGGAGGGACCAGACCGTGGAGGACGCTGAGCTGCTGCTGCTGCCCGCGAAACTTCCACTTCGGCAGCTCAGCGGCATCCCGGTCCCGATGCTGCTGCAGGTTCCAGCCTCTCTCCAGTCCAGCAACGCCGGGATTCGGACTCCTCTTGCAGTGACAGATCTGTCCTGGTTACAGATGTATTCATCCTAGTTTCAGTCTCTTTAAAGTCACCTATCTAGTCACTACAGAGTTTCTTCCTTGCCGTGTGATCTTATCACTAACAGCCCTGGGAGGGCAGGTTTAAGGAATTACTTCATTTTTGGATGAATGACAGCAGACTTAGCCCACCTCATTTCTGATTTTTTTTTTTTTTTAATGGAAGGAAGGTGTAGAGCTTTCAATTTTTTTGTGAGGGAGGAGAATGAACAATTTTATAGATTGTTCATTCTGACATTTAGAGAAAACATGTCCAGTATGCACAAGTGAATACTTTAAAGGCTGGTTGGCATGCATGTTATCTGATTAGCCCATAGTCTAGGTGTTTATACAGGTATAGAGCTGTGGGCTACTGATGAATAGTCTCCGTCCCATACATTGAGCTGGAGTGCACTTGATTTATCACCCTGCTATAAATCAGGGATTTACTAGCACATGTGCCTTTAAACTCTATTTGAATTTAATGGCATTTAAATTGGTTTATGAGCTGATGCATCTAACCTATTTTAATAACTTTCTGCACAAACATAAACCATATTTGCCTATGATTAAGAAAAACATTTTTTTTCTCTTCAGTCTCTCCATTTCTAGTGCGGTTGTGGAAATGTATAGGTCTCCAACTTTCATTTGCAAGCAGCAATCCAAACGAAATACCTAGAGTTTTACTGAAATAAAATATCCTATGGTAGCCATGGTAACAAATAGATTAAGGGTTATTGGTTTTCATCTGAATGTGATGGGGGGTGGGGATCTAGTGTTATGTCTTTTTAATTATGTTTCTAATGAGTGGTGGTCATACTTCAAGTACTCAGTGTGGGAGACATGGGAAACTGAGAATTCAGGTTTGCTGAGAATTCAGGTTTGCAAGAGGTTTATTGAAACAAAGACTAGTCGAGCTCAGGAGAATGACTTCTGCTAACTGCAGCTCCTCATATCTAGGAACAAGTGGATAAAAACCTTTTTTTGTTTTTCAAGTAGATGAGAATTGAGTCAGTCCCTTTAAGACTGGAAAATGCATTTTGCTTATAAACTATTACCAAAGGAACCTTTAAATCCAGCCTGTTTTCTAGGAATAAACATGTTGGGAGCGTGGCTGTTGGTGTGGATTGAGTGTCACCGTTGTTATCAACACCTGTCAGTTTAAGTGAGGCACATCATTAGTCTATTCAAATCTTGCCTATTTCAATATTCATGCATTTCCATGGTGATCCATTCATTTTTGTTTATTTAGTCAACCTTATAAATCTTTGGCATCAATTTTAGTTGTGCCATCTTTTTCTTTCTTTCTTTTATCAATTGATTTGACTACAAACCTAGATTCCTAGTTTAAAGTATTTCCTTCTTTTTCCTGCTAGTTTCTAAAAGCCTACACTATTCCCAGCTACATACAGATATAAAAGGGTTAATTTTTTTAATTGACTCAAATAGCACCCCTAATACTAATGTCATTTTTTAGCATCTCATTTGATATATATGTGTACATGGTTTTTTTTTTTTTCTTTCTTTCAGCAGGCTTACCATAAAGCTTTCTCACTTTTTGGCCAGGAGACATCAATTTAGTCCAGCAGAACTGACTAAAGTTTTTCCTTCTTTCCTTCCTTCCTTCCTTTTCCTTCCTTCCTTCCTTTTTTTCTTTCTTCTTCTTTTTTTTTTTTTTTTAAGCCCAGTACTGTTATGGTTTAGGGATTCTTTGTGTCATTCGTTGTATCTGGCTTGGAGAGACTTAACAACTACATTAGAGCAGGTCTGCCATAGGATCTTTTCTAGTAGTGGTCAAAGCCAGAAGCTTTCGGAACAGCAGAGGATTTTCCAAATGCAATGTATGTTTAGTCACAGCATATAGTGCCCCTAGGATCATAGTAACATTGTAAGTCCACTGAACAGGCAGTTTTACTTAAATGCAAGTGATGGTTTTGCTTACCCGCTTTCAACTTAGCTTTCTAATGATGCAATCCCATGCTAATCACAACCCTGTATATTTCAGAAATATCAAGGCAAGCATTAGCACGCTGCTGACTTATTAGGATCAGGCAAAGTAATTGGAACACTTAAGTTCAAAGTCAGATGAAGAAATGGAATTATAACCAACTTTGTGATTCTATAATCAGTCAACTAAGTGCCTACTTGGGGGTAGGAGGAGGAAGAAACATGAATAAGAAATCCAGCCCTTAGTTGTGCTGAATGAGGATAAACCAAGCCAGTTACTGTATAAAAGGACTGGAGGACAAGAAATGTATTAGTGGATGGGAGGAGCACTGGAGCCCAGCAAGTCAAGTGTGCAGTGAACCGTGGTTGCGCCACTGCACTAGGTGACAGAGCAAGACCCAGTCTCAAAAAAAAAAAAAAAAAAAAGGTGGTGGGGGGGATTATATTTGCAAACAGATAAATCATATGTTTCCCAGGCCTCTTAGTATCTTTCACTGTGCTATATACATATCCACGCAAACGTTTGTAAGTTGGTAGAATATATGTAGTTTGTGTAGAAGATAGTTTTTGTTTCTTAAGTAATCTGGGGTCATCTCCTGCTATGCTAAAAAATGAGGTAGCGTGATCCCTGGAATGTACTTTCATCTGAAGTATACTTTACCTTAGAAAATGGTCTTAATTTTGGTTAAGAAGGAAAGATGTCTCCAAATTATTTACCTGCACCTGAGATAAAAAATGCTGAGATCAGGACCACCCTGAAAGCAAACTCTGTGGTTCTTCCTATAACAGCCACAGACTCACTCTCCCACAGTACGAGGTCAGAAACGCAGCCTGTACTTTCTTCAAGGAGACCACTTGAAAACAGGAAAACCGCAGCTGCCGATTAAGATGAGGCAAGTCGATCACTGGAAGTAGCAACAGGATTCTTTGTGAAATCAATTTTATCGTTTGGGAGCACTTCCACCTTTAGGGTAGAAAGGGGACGAGTTCTCATTTTCCGTGCGAGAGGGTATCTGCATGAAATTCAAGTAGTTCAGAGACTCTCGGCTGTGCAGCAGCAGATGATGACTCACAAGCTGGAACAAGAATGGCGAGCACGGCTGTGGCCGGGAATCCAGTGTGCACAAAAAAGACAGCTTTCGGGACATTTACAGGCTGCCTTTGGCCTCACAGGTGTCTATTTTTATAATTGGTAGGTTTTTGACATTTAAAAATTTTTAAATCATTGACCATTTTGAGGATATATATATATATATATACACACACACATACATATATATATGTATATGTACACACATATATACAAATATATATTGTCACTTTCTTTCATTTTATGGTTTAAAAACACATAAAATGTACCATCTTTACCATTTTTAACTGCATTTGTAGCATTCACATTGTTGTGCAAGCAAGCTCCGGAACCCTTCATCTTGCAGAACTGAAAGTCTATACCCATTAAACACCAGCTCCCCATCCCACCTCCCTCGGCCCCTGGCAGGCAGCATTCTACTT